CAACCCCGAAATCTTACCTATTTAAAGTTTGAGAATAGGTCGAGGGTGTTTCACCCCCGAGGCCTCTAATCATTCGCTTTACCCGATAAAACTGTATAACAGCTCCAGCTATCCTGAGGGAAACTTCGGAGGGAACCAGCTACTAGACAGTTCGATTAGTGTTTCGCCCCTGGTCAGGCATAGTTCACCATCTTTCGGGTCCCAACGGGCATGCTCACACTCAAACCTCTCACAGCAGATTGTGGTTGGCGGTCGGTGCACCCGCAGAGGGTTCCCACCACTAAGGTTTCTTCCGCCTCGTGGGCTAATCACCCAACGGCTCGCATGCACGTTGAACTCCTCGGTCCGTGTTTCAAGACGRGCAGGATAGAGGAATTTCGCCAGCATCCCGAACACGCACGAACCCGAACGGGCACGCCGAAAGAGGCGCGTGCTCAAGGTCCTCGACTGCCGTGACGGCCACCCGTGGGGGGTTTCAATCGCTCCCCACCVCAATGCCGGTCACAGCAGCCCATGCTGGCAGGCACCCCACCTCCAACAGGGGGGGCGACAACACAGTCACCGTCCACCCCTGCCCAGACGGGAGCGCACGACTTCCCCTCCATCCGCTTCTCGCTCGGCAATTTCAAGCACTCTTTAACTCTCTTTTCAAAGTTCTTTTCATCCTTCCCTCGCGGTACTTCTTCGCTATCGGTCCCTCGCACATATTTAGCCTTGGATGGGACTTACCACCCAATTGGGGCTGCATTCCCAAGCAACCCGACTCTTGGACAACACCTCGTTGYGCAGCAGGGTCCGGCGGTCGACGGGGCTATCACCCTCTTCGGCGTCCCCTCCCAGGGAATTTGCACACGGCCCGCTGCAGAGGTTGCCTCTCAACTTCTCTCAAGACTACAACTCAGGGAGCAACACAACCCCCGGATTTTCAGTTTGGGCTATTCCCGGTTCACTCGCCGCTACCAAGGGAATCCTCGTTGGTTTCTCTTCCTCTGCTTACTTATATGCTAAAATTGGGCGGGTGCTCACGCCCGACCTAAGATCAAAAGGCACGGCCACCTCAAGCTGATGGGAGGGAATGGAAGGCGGCGACCACAGATACCGGAGGGATGACCTTATGTGCCGTTTTCAGGGAAACGAAGACCACCACCCACAAACGGGTGCTGGAGGGCAACAACAGGGCGGAGCGAAACGCACCACTCTGGGCTGCGGCCCCCACAGGCCCGCTCGAAATGCTCTCGAATTCCCTTCCACTTTAGGCTATCGACGCTCTCCAAGTGGGGAGTGAGGGAAGCCACAACCACGGACCCCACCACTCTCCGAAATGGAAGGTGCTGAGGTCGTGAGGAATCCAACGATGCTCAAGCAGGCGTGCCCTCGGCAGAAGCCTTGGGCGCCACGTGCGTTCAAGGTATTGATGGCTCACGGATTTCTGCAATTCACATTCAGTATCGCATTTCGCTGCGCTCTTCATCGTTGCGAGGGCCAGGATATTCGTTTGCCGAGAGTTCTACAATATGGTGCCGTTCCGACAGGACCGACCCCTCGACCAGAACAGAAGGGGGCCATCAACCCGGACAGCGACAAATCAGAGCAGGTACATCAATAAGAAGTTGCAAAGTCGTCGCCACCAGCCGCTGCCACGGGCCCGCCCGACCCCCCGT